ATACTGAGATTTAGAGCCACAGCTCCATCTAACCTCCGGTTAATGAGTGCAAGCCTTTTCGTGATGTTTTCCAAAATGTGGTGTGAGGCAGCCGAGCCTTCTATAACACTGCTCATAGTCACATTTTGAGAATTTGCAGCTTTACCTCCAATTTCAGTCAGTCCATGCGACCATGTGGGGTGTTGAACAGCCGCCTCGGTAATCTGAACTTTTCGAAAAGTCAGGGCCATGCCAAATCCAATCAACAAAAGACCTGTAATTATGGTTCCAAATAGGTAAATGTCTTCTATGTCCTCCACGGAAAGAGCCGTCAGACACATGACGCGCCACTTACCCCAATGGCCATCGTGTATCCCACAGCGAAAGTTCCAGCAGGGCTCGCAGGTTTGCCTGAGCCTGCATTTCTTGTTGAAAAAATTATGTCAATTGTGTTGAGAGACCAGTTTATCAAATCCATAGTTAATTTAGGTTTGGAAAGCAGAGTGGAGAGTCTCTCAAAAGTATAAGACAAAAGTATAAGACACTAGACTAGACGAGACAAAGAAGCAAAGCAGGAAAAGATAAGGGGCAGGAGAGGAGAGAAAATGCGTCCGCCCTCGCCAAGAGTCAAGACAAGAAGAAATAAGTGTAGTTTTCAACTGTGTTACAAACTTTTCATGAAATAATGCAATATCAGTCAGTGCTTTTACATGCACAGAGAAGCCTTGTCCAAGTTCTGTAGCATCCAAAACAATAAAACATGTGCTGGTCTGTGGTGCCTGGTTGTTTCTTCCCTTGTGCAGCTGAACGCCTCTGCTCGTCTGCTTCTTGTGTGATTTGGCTGCTGCTGTCACATGCAGCAGGTACCAGCTTCTCCACATGTGCAATTGTGATCTGCGAGAATTGAACCACGACTCCTCAGTAGTCCCCAGGTTTACGTACAATTTGACAAAAAAAAAAAAAAAAAAAAGATGGACTAGACTTAAAACTTAATCTTTTTTCACTTCACTGATATTTAAAGCTACAGTATCGGACCCGATTTCAGCCGATACCAGTGATATCAGTGCTAATAACATTGATTTCCTTAATACAAAAATAAAATAAGACAAAACTTATCCAAATGTGTTATGTAGCTTTTACGTTTTTTTTCCCGCACTATTAGTTGCTCTGGATTATAAAACGCATTAAATGGTCTATTTTCCAACTTTTTTCACAAATAAACCACACCGGACTTTAAAGGAAACCCAACAGTGTGATGGGTGAGTGGTTTTGTTTGTTTGTTCGTTCACGGTGACTCTGGGCTTTGTTCAGTTGTGGCGTGTAGGGAGGGTGCTGTCTGGGACCAATGGATTGTTGGCGTGTTCACAGTGACTCAGTTGTTCAGTTGTGTCTAGAAGTGGCACATTGCACTCGCTTTTTTGGTTCGTTCCTCTGTTCCGTTCCTCGTCGGCGTGGAGTGATGAGTGTGTCTGTGGGTGTGTTTCGCTGTGTGGTCACTGTCTGCTCCATGTGTGTTTGTGTGTGCTGCAGGTGGTGTGACTTTGTAGTTTACTGAAGTCGTGCTGGGACACAAGTGGATTCATGTATAGGGCGTTCTGGATTGTGGGCGCGCAGTCGTTTTCTGATGGGGTTGGAGGCTTAAGAGCGCGCCCTATGTTGCGTAAAATACGGTAGTTATCTCTTTTTTTCATTGATCATGTTTTACAAACGTGATGAGACTTCCTTTTTATGACCAGTAAATAGTCATAACATCAATATGTCCAACCAGGATATCGCCTGAACCAATATTTAGAAGCCAATATCTGAGCGGCACTGATATCCGATACCAGTGGATCCCTAACGTACTGAGAAATCAAGTTGTACAACAAATGTCCTTTCTCCAAATAGTGTGCTGATAGTGTTTTAAATCAATGCCTTGGCGGAGGTCTGTCGCATCGTCTCAAGTTCGTCCAGCTCTATTCTAATGATTCTTTTTTTTTTTCAATATGCAAAAATAGCTCCACTTCAAATGATTTCATATTTTGTTTACAGCGATGTCTGCGCTGCTGGTAATCCGATAAGGCCCGTCTCTGTCTGATAAGCCTATTAATACTGTGCTATAGTGTGTGTTCAAACGCATTAGCCAGTTCTGTTTACATTTCAAACTAGCATAATCCTGGACCTTGGCAATCGTTCTGTTTGGACTGGAAGGCTTTGTGTTCTTCCATTGGCTGAACATATGTTTGTGTCATATATGGATTTTCACATCATTTTCATTACTCCCACACATTTGGAATAGATCATATTTGTCCAGGATTATTTTTAGTTTTATTTACATTTTACATTTTTTTATGAGAATTCTCGGATGGATGGATGCATGGACAGTGTTGGGGAGTAACAGATTACATGTACCAGAGTTACGTAATCAGAGTACAAATTATGAGTAACTGTATTCAGTTACAGTTACTGTTTCAGTGAGTGGTAATTGGATTGCAGTTACTTGGTTAAAATAAATTGATTACACAGAGGTATTTTCCTGTTTTTACATTTTGGGCTATATCCCTTTTTTTTGTGTGGTAATTCTACTCATTGCCGCAAACTAAACTAGGTCTAAACCCAGGTCTAAAACCAGGTCTAAACCAGGTCTAAAACCAGGTTTAAACCAGATCTAAACCAGGTCTAAATCAGGTCCAAAACCAGGTCTAAACCCAGGTCCAAACCAGGTTCAACCCCGGTCTAAACCAGGTCCAACCCCGGTCTAAACCAGGTCCAACCCCGGTCTAAACCAGGTCCAACCCCGGTCTAAACCAGGTCCAAACCAGGTCTAAACCAGGTCCAAACCAGGTCTAACCCTGGTCTAAAGCCATATCTAAACCAGGACTAAACCAGGACTAAACCCAGGCCTAAACCAGGTCCAAACCAGGTCTAAACTAAGACTAAACCAGGTCTAAACCAGGTTTAAAATCAGGTCTAAACCAGACCTAAACAAGGACTAAACTATGTCTCAAACAGGATTTAACAGGATTTAACAGGACTAAACTGTGCTGTGTGGACGTGTCTCCTCGTCTTCTATCAATAATATTTTTAATACAGTTAAGTAAAGTCTGGGCTTTTCTTTGTCTTTTAGCAGACAAAACATCTTATGTGAAGATTTCCTAGTCTTTGTTACTCTACAGCAAATCAAGTAATCCAAAATATTCAGATTTCATTACTCACTTTAAGTAATTTAATGGATTCTGTTACAAACTACATTTTGGGGTCTGTAATCTGTAGGGGAATACATTTTAAAAGTCACCTTCCCAACACTGTGCATGGATGCATGGTTCAGACATGCACGGATGACATCTGAAACCTCTTCAGGCGTGTATTTGATGAGAGAACAACATTATAACATGGTAGAAAGCTCAAAAAAGAGAAGAAAAAAAGAACTGTAGTCAAAATAATGGGCTCAATATCGCTTAATTTGCAAATACGATATACAAAAACAACCACTAATATTGTGTTATTGGCACTGAATCCGTATGTTTTTGCACTCTGCAGCTGCACTGGTCCACTCGTGATGGATGTCCAGCAGCTTTAATTCCTGCTCTATTCAATTAACATCTCCGTCAATGAGCATAATTCATAACAGGAATCAATAGGCCCCGCTGGAGCTGAGCGTTTGGCACTTTCTTTAGTCTAACACGCCGTTCCATGTGCAGTCTCAAATATATTGCCAGATGAATGGCTGTAGAGAGTTTGTGTCATTGGCTCTGATATATTACTGGCACGTGAACGAGCCTGTGGTCAGCAAGAACAGGATTCATTCAAACAGCGATTACAACTCCAAATGTGTGTTCACCGTCATGTCCCGTGGAGCTCCGAGCCGGATCTGTATTTACTCTGTCACGCCGAGTTATTTTGAGAAAAGTCTGACCATCGATACTCGAGTCGCCAGAAGCCAAGACCGTGTCACATCTAAACAAAGTGTATTTGTACTTTTTCTTGGAGATTGGAGAACTTGTACATTTATACTCAGTGGCACAAATTACTGATGCATTTGCAGCAACTTTGGACTTAAGCAAGACTGTTTTTTGTCTTTGTGTTAAAGCTTGTTGGCATTAAGTAAACCATTTCTTGTAAGGCATCTGCTATTTTCTGTAACTATTCATGATTTCAGCTTCTGCTATATTCAACGTTTTGAGGACTTCCCATTCAGGAGTTTCATATTTTGTTTTGTTCATACTTTTTTCTTGTTTTTTGAAGTTAATCCAACTGAGCCTGTGCTGCCTGAGCCCTCCCCTGAAGATAGAGACACACCTAAGTTTTTGTCTTATTGTCAGTTTATGTTCAGGCCTCATGTGAAGCTCAGAACCTCCAGAATTCCCTCGCTGAGCTGCAGAGTCTGCACTAGCACTGACTCATGATTAACTGCAGGTGCTGGGGTTTAGGTAGTGACCATTCAGATCAGAGAGAGACATTTTAGGATTAAACCAACTGGATTTCAGCATTGAACCTGGCAACCCAAATGACAGAGTCATGTGAGGCTCTTTCTGCTTTCTGATTGGAGAATTGTCTTCAAAACCAAAACACCAAATTGTAACAAAAATTGGAACATTATGTCTCATGTGTTTGTAGTTACGATTAAATTGGCATTACAGTATTATCAGTCACATTTATGAAATTTAAAATCAAATCTATGCAGTTCATTTAAAAGTTAATTGCTATTCATAATAACCTGAGATGAAATATTTTCTTTTGATTGGTTTTATTGGTCGTTACAAAGCATTTTTGATGATCCAACACATCATGAATAAATGCATGAGCTTGTACTGTTTTACACTGAAGACAAGTCTGTGATATTCATAAAGAAATAACAAGGGTGTAAATGAGCACGCTTTATTAGCAAGTCAGATGTGGTTCAGCTCATCGTGTAAATGGATGGAGCTTTAGCCTTAGCTTCGACTCTGAACGCGAGCCTTTGATGGTCTTTTGTGCCTCTCACTGCTCCAGCTCCACAGCTCTAACCCCGTGTGTGTGTGTGTGTGTGCTCTCTCTGACAGGAGCGGCAGGGCCAGCTCAGGACTGACCGGGGGAGGGATGTCGGCATGACGACCACTGCTTCTTGGTGACTGGAAAACAGGTTGGTGTTAGAATGGTTCTGTCTGTCTATATCGTTACGTTCAGAGCATGTGACGGGTTTTTGTGGTTTTCTAATTCAGACTTGGTTTGGTGGATAGTACCTGTGCTCAATATTTACCGTAGTTTACAGTTAAGTGGTAGTTTGTTGAAAAAAAGTTTCGCTCAGACTAACATTATGGTTGCTACGTATTATAAAATCATCTACATGTTTGCTGACTCCAACCGGAATTATAAACTTCATAAAAAATGTAATTAGCAATGTGAAGAGACTAACTGAAAATGATCCTAAAAATATCCAGGATATTACTTTAACTGATATGAATTATATGAATATGAATTATGAGCTGCAAAGCTGTTCTTTTGTTACTTGATCAATTGTAGCACAGTTGGATCAGTTTTGTAATGCACTCTTCATGTTTAAAGGAAATAAACACTCCTTTCAGTCTGTGCGCAGGATATTGGGTTCAGAACTGAACCAGCTGGGCCAGTGCAGTGTGAGTAGAATGTCCTCAGCAGAGGACATGTATGGGTGTGTATAAAGCCTGTAGAACCTGGAACACTTCTTTGCTTAGATGTCATCGGTACTGGATTGTTTAAAATATGAAATTGAATCCTGATTTTAAAACATAAAATATTGGCAAAATTTAAAGGGCCCATATGAAATTATTTTCTGATCTACGTTATTATTCGTTTCCTCTTCAATAACAGACCGGGAGTTGTGTTATTATTTAACACAAACCCTGCAGATTTAGGCGGAGTTTTTCTGTCAAAAAGAAGACGTGCTGTTCCACCTTGTGATGTCAGTTGGTAATACAGGAAGTGCTCCACAGTGTTATTCACCTACCCCAGAATAATTTGGATGATTTCAGGCCTTGTCCTTCAACTCCTTACTGAACTAAAAGTAAAAGCTTTTAACTTGACATCACAAGGTGGAACAGAGCATTTGGAGTTTTGGAGATGACAGACTAATAATGAAGAGTCACTCAGTCTCTCTCTGTCTCTCTATGTCGCTCTCTATCTCTGTCTCTCTCTCTCTCTGTTTCTCTCTCTATGTGTCTCTCTCTGTCTCTGTCGCTCTCTCTCCATCTCTCTCTTTCACTCTCTCCCTCTCTCTCTTTGTCTGTCTTTGTCTCTCTCTTTCCCTCTCTTTCTCTCTCTGCCTCTCTCTCTGTCACTCTTTCTGTCTCTCTCTCTCTCTCTATGTCTCTGTCTCTCTCTCTCTCTCTCTCTCTATCTCCACCTCTCTCTCTTTATCTCCACCTCTCTCTCTCTGTCTCCGTCTGTCTCCGTCTGTCTCTCTGTCTCTTGGTCTGTGTGTGGAGAAACACAGTTTTTGAGGAGATAACAACATTATAAAACGGCTTAAAGCTCACAAGATTCAGTTTAATTCAGATGCTTCTTACGTCGTTGAAGACCAGCACATGAGTCTGGTCCGTCGTCCTCTCCCCGCTGGAACTCTCTCCATCATTGTCAGTCTGCGGTGTGTGTTTTGCTCTTGCTCCATTTAATAAGCAGTTTGCATAATCCAGCAGGAGGCCGCAGCTACAAGCCTTTAGCTAATGACCTGTTTAATCCGACGCGCACAGATCAAACCCAGAGGCGCTAATGCTACACTCACGCACACACAACATCAGACTAACACACACACGCACATTTGATAGCATTAGCGCAGTTTGTGGTGATGCCCCGGGCTGTGTTTGAAAACTAATCTTGTATCACGTATTAAAGATGCAGTGATAACTAACTCTTCTAAATGTGTACTTTCTCCCTCAGGGACAGTGTGTGAGGAGAGATTGTGTTGCTCTCTCAGATCTCTCCTGATAACAATGTATGTCTGAGCTAAAAACTGCTGCTTTTGTCATACCAACAACTTTATTTCAAACTTGTGACGTAATTGTGTTCTGAATCCCACTCGCTGCACGCCCGGAAAACTGAACAACTGGCCTAGTCTACTAATTTTTTTGGTTGTGGGGTCCGTCACCTGCTTGTTTCTACGGATATGTCTTTGCTCTTCCTGAAATGTTCCACAGTGGGACATTAAACAGTTTATTTAATTACAGGTGGTTTTACAGCTCAAAAATTCCTAGAAAAACAAACATTCTGACTGTGAGCGGGGTTGCCTCTCCACGGATCTGACCTGTAACTTGGACTGGTTTAATCTCCATGAAGATAAAAAGCAACAACATCTCCATGGAGAAAAGCATTTAACATTCCATCCACTAGAAAAGTTACACAGTGCACCTTTAAATCAGTGGGCCTCATTTATAAAATGTTCTTAAGCGTTTCTGTGTAGACTCCTCACACCTGACTGGGGCGACAGGAGAGGCACTTAGCTGTTTTTAAAGGAAACTCACGCACAAAGTCTCACTCTTGATTGTTGAAAAATCAAGAGTGAAACGTTCTTATGAACACATTTGTACTGAACGCCTTCTTACCAACGTTCAACTTCTTCTTAACTGAAAATGTTCTTCTGGAAGAACAAATCCTACAAACAGTCAGGAGCACTAGAGAGAACAAACATTCTACTGTTTTAGAATATTAGCACTCTGAAAATGCAACAAAAAAAATGTAATTCCTCCATCATTGTAAGTTATGTATTTTCTTAAATTATTTCCTGTAAACATATGACTCTGTGATCCAATAACATTTATGAGAAGTTTTTAGAGTCTGTGTTTGTTGGGTCTAAGAGACAGCCCTGCACCTGGTCACTGCTCTAGACTCAACACCAACATCACTCCCATCACCCCCCTGACCCCCCATGACCAGAGTGCACTCTTACGCGTCCCCACCCCAGACCCCACTCCTTTGCGATTTACCACAGGTCCACGATTGCGGAAATAAATATGAGCATTAGGGATGGGCATGATTAGTCGATTAATCAATAATTGATCATTAAGAATTTCATCGATTACGTTGGGAAAAAGGTTTGCCAGGTGAGAGTCGCTCAATGTCGATGACGAGTCCCCACCTCCCTCCCCCCGTACGGTGTCCTGGTTTTGACAAACACAAATCTGGTCACACTAACCTGTATTCACCTGAGTCATGTCTTTTAATCTGACAGAAGTTGAACCGCATCAGCGACACAAGAGCTGGAGTTTTATCTTTGCTGAGTTTATGCAAATTAGCGATGTGGTTTTAAGTTTCGTTTCTGTGAGAGTTGCACAAATCTGAATTAAACACATTATAATGTCAAACAGCTGATGTGGCTCTAGAGTGGTTACAGTTTATATGTCGTAAAGTTGAATTTATTTATGCAGATTAGTGCAGATAGTAATCATAATGATGATCATTTTAATATAAAAACATTAATGATTAATCGATAATCGATCGTTAATTCTTCCGACGATCGATTAAGAAAATTTCATTGAATGCCCATCCCTAATGAGCATACATGATAAATACGATAAAAGTGCCCACTTATCTCAGTAAGTTTCTGTCTTAAATATTTCCTCTCTGAATGTGTTCATGTGAGTTTGAACACTGGAAATTGCTGCTGAAGATGTAAAACAGTTGTACTCTGGAGATGTGCTCCACCATGTCTTCTCATGTCCCTCTCTCCCTCACCCTAATACATCATAATACCAAACCCATACTGGCCATATATGGAAGACAGTTCACACCTAAGCCTTCAGTAGTGCTGCGTCTGAAACAATCCACTCAGAGATTTCGTGTGACTAGTTTTGCGAGGATTCACTTGGTTCAGAGAGACGTAGTCAAAGCAGCCGCCTTAACTAAAAAGTTCTGCAGTGACCTTCGACATGAGGGTCCAGGACTGAACCAGGACTAAACCAGGACTAAACCAGGACTGAACCAGGACTGAACCAGGACTGAACCAGGACTAAACCAGGACTAGCTTTTCTGGTGGAGGTTCTGCTTCTCCCCATGGAGATGTTATTGCTTTGCTGAATGCAAGGCACTATTGCAATGAACACATCTGTCTTGAATTTGTTTCCATTAGACTTAGACTTAGCCAAACTTTATTGAGCCACAAGGGAAAGGATTTGGACACAGGAGTCACACATCACAATATAATCTAATAACAAAGAGCAAAAATATAAATACGAATGATACATTCTAAATAAGTAGCAAAAATGAGCAAGAGACACGTGTGAAATAAGTCATAATTACGTAAATGTAAATGTACAAGTCAAAATAAAATAAAATAGATAAGTAATAAAATATAAAATTACAGCTTTATACAAGAGGTCATAGGAAGACGGTGTAACAATGATATGTCATTAGGTTCTTTTTTTCAGACCTGGAGTGTTATTTCATACCTGACAGTTTCGACTGCTGTCTGGTCACACGCGACCTGACACGTCACAGCAACATCACGTGACCACTCTGAGGAAGACGCTAGTGAGCAGTCCAAACTGTCAGGTATGAAATAACACTCTAGGGCTGAAAAAAAGAACCTAATGACATAGAATATCGGAAGACCAAATGAATCTCATTGGACTAGTGTAACAATAATCTGATGATTGACAGGACACAGGGTTATCTGTTCCATAAGGGTGAGTTGTTGTACAGTTGTAGGGAGTATTATCTGTTCCATAAGGGTGAGTTGTCTGGAAATCAGAGGTGTACAGAGTGAACAGAAACAGAGACAGGACTGAACCCTGGGTGGGCTCCTACATTACTGACCACGGTATCAGACAGGGTGCTCCCTGTCGCACGTACTGAGGTCTGTCTGACAGGTAGTGTGTGATCCAGGAGACAATGGAGGAGCTCACACCATCCTGACACCCATTAGAGAAAAATGAGAAAATACCTTGAAAAACAAACATACGTTCTTGCTGTGAGGGGTTTATTACCGTGAGAAGTGTTACTTGGCTTTGTGGTGTCTGCATATTTCCATGGAGAACAGTAATGCTGTACTGTGGAACATACTTGGAACACGCTCTATGGAGACAAGCACCAGAAAAGTTACATGGACTTATATACAATGCCTCTTAAGCAATTCCCCAATCACAGAACTATGGTAGAGTTATTATGCGTTCA